GAGCAGCAAACGAACCAAGGGAAGGGGAAGGAAGGGAAGAGGAAGAGGAAGAGGTGGGTGGGGCCGGTGTGGGGTGGGAAACTGAGCGACAGACACGCTCCGGCTAACTCGGCGCCCGTGGGCCCCTCAGTCGCGCTTTCGTCCAGTGCGACTCGGGCTTTTAAGCATGAATTTAAGCGTTGCAAGCCACTAGGCTTGGCAAGAGAATCACAATTCGCACGGTGAGCGATGGCCAGTACTAGCTCCAAAATACCGCCGCCAGCATGACCGTTTGCGACAATCTGCGACCGGTAGTGGCTTGACCATGACGATTTCCACGTCTTCTTTGTAAGAGTTTGCACGACCGTTGTTATGGATTCAGCTCGAATAAAGGGATCCGATACAAACACCATGGGCGGGCGGGGCATACACGTACACGTACTCCGTACTCACACATTAAACGTTTGCTAATCTTGTGGCGCGACGTACCCAGGACTTCTCGAGGCTTGGCTATTGAGCGCCTTCGTTGCGACTGGGTCAGGGGGAGTCATACATTAGGTAGGTAACTACCTAGGTACTTAAAGCAGCCTTGATATTACGGGGATTTGAACCGAGCACAGTGAATAAGATGTCGTACGTCCTACCATTTATTTTTGCACGGAATTTCATTGATCCGTGCGTCCGAGGAGTCACACGTCACACCCTGGCACAGACATGACGGAGAGGTTCAGAGCTCAGAGCCACTCGAGGCCAGTGCCAGGGCCAGAAAAGAAGAGACAGATGAAAAGCTTGGCACTGTTGAGATGCCGTCTGAACCGACTTGGCGACTTGGCGGCCATGAATCCCTGCTTATTACGGCAGCCTTCTGTGGGTACTGTGTGGGGTGAGAACGATGGCGTCTGAGAATTAATGAGAAGGTGCTCTGGGAGGGGGGTGTGGAATAGGCGGGCTGTGACTGGCCGAACAGCAACTTAATATGGGAAGGCTAAAAAGTTTGTGGGCGGACACAAGCTTTATTCCCGAAGGTT